ACGGACCGGTGCACCACGGTGACGGAGGCAAAGACAGCGGCGAAGCCGGTCAGGTACACCACGCCCAGGAGACAGGCCAGCTGCAGAGAAGCCAACGGTCAGCTCAGGCCCCCCAGCAGCCCCTCACAGCCAGCCGTGACCCAGCGTGGCCACACATCAAGGCAGCAGCCATGATGGCAAACGGCAGCAGCAGCACTGGGGCGGGGAGCCAGGGGGCAAGCAGCCAGGCTGCTAACAGCGGTGGTCCTGCAAGTTGCTGCTGCCCCATGCCCTTACCTTCACTACTTGCTGGTAGAACTGGCCCAGCACGTGCTGCCATGTGGACTGCTCCATGAGGACACACAGATCCGTGTAGGTGAACCAGCCACGCCACATGCCCTGCTTTTCTGCCACACTGCAGGAAAAAAAGGAATGGTGGATGTGGCATGGACTTTCTCCATCAAAGAAGCTTGAGCCCAGGGAGAAGCTCAGAGAAGAACCTGCTCAAGGTCTATGGAAGGGAGCTGCAGACCCTCGCAAATGCTCACAGGTACCCCAACCTCTTATTTCACTGCAGCAGGGCAGAGCCAAGGCTGCAGGGTGGACGAAAGGCTCACCTCCACCCCACACACCTACCGTCCTTCCAGCCAGCTCAGCACTTCAAACAGTTCCCGGGGGTCTGTGTAGAGACTCCAGTCCTGTGGGAACAGCAGTGAAAGGTCAGAGCAGTCAGGGCAGGCCACCCAGCACCCACACACATCCTTCTCCATTCCTTCATGGGAGTATGTTGGGGAAAAGCAGAAATCCAGACTCCCCTTAACGCCTCCTTTCCCCTGCTCCGTGAAACAGTTGGCTGCAGGGACAGCCCAACTTACAATGGCGCTCAGGAAATTCATCTCCAGTGTGTTCATGGTCTGGACGTCCACCTTCCCTGCTGCTCCCCACTCGTCATTGAACACCTCCTCCTCCTCACCTTCATCATACAGGTACTTACTAGCAACCATCTAAAAGCATCACAAAGGACAGGATCTCAGTCCCCCCTGCACTCCTCCAAGCCTCCCTCCAACCCAGTGACCCCTCACAGCCCACACCACTCACCATGGAGATCAGGAAGAGGTCTGAAGATGAGATCTGCTGGAGGTATTCGGGGTTCCGGTGCCGGAGTCTCTCAATGTAAACCAGTGCCAGCATCATGGAGCAGGGCGAGATGCAGGCTTCCCTGTGGGACAGGGCAAGAGCCAACCCGAAGGTTATTTGCGTGCTACAAACATCCTTGTCACCACAGCACAACTCGGCTGCTCCTACACAGGGAGGGTTAGTGAACAGACAGCTAGATACGTCCCAGCCTTGCCAGCTCTGCGCTGGCTGTCCTGAGCTGCAGCAAGAGATAGTGCAGGGGATGGAGAGCAGAAAGCCCTGGCTCCTCTTCCTGGGCACAGCCAGCTCTGAACCGGGCAGCCCTGCCTGCAGCCAGGCACACTGCAAGGGCTTGGCTGCTGAGAGCAGAGCCAGGGTTCAGACCTGGCTGTCCCAGCCAGTACAGACTTCCAGTAACAGGAGCACCCCTGCACCCCAGAGAGCAGGACCAGCCTGAACTGGGCCTGGCTGTGTCAGGATGCCACTGTGCCTGCTGGCCTTGCCACCCGCCCCCAGCTCCTCTTTGACACTAATCAGGCCTAAGCACAAAGCCCAGCTGGCCCAGGGGACAGCAGTGAGTCATAGGTGAGACCAGAGCTCCCAATTCCAGCATGGGACATGAAGGGAGAGGTTTTGCTTCTTACCGAGATACATGAGACACGTATTTCTTCTGGAGCCTGCGGATAGGGCTGGGAGCCACTTTCTGCAGCAACTCCACGGCAATATCTAGGACAGAAAAGCAGCAAAAGGGGTTAGTCCTACACAGCACAGTCCACCCCCACCCCTCCCTTTTTCCCCACAAGCCGTTGAGTCTTGGTGTTCGCTCAGCCCTCAAGTTTAATTTAAACTACCAAGGTAGGAGCCCTTCTCAGAAGTCACGGATGAGGGAGGAACAAGGAAATAGGCAGGAGAGCCAGATCTAGACTAGCAAGTCTGCTTCACGGGGAGTTACCAGCAATGAGCTGCACAGAGAGGCTAATACCCTCCCCTCGCCCTGCAAGACCTCAAGCAGCCCTTTTGGAGGCTTTCTGAGACCTGATGTCAACACCAGGTCCTCCCATTCCTTTGCTCCCCTCCAACCAGCATCATCCTCCTCCTCCTCCAGAGCTGGTCAGCACTGACCCAGCTTCTTCCCCACCACAGTCCTAGTGCCCCCAAGATGATGATGGACAACGTATTCACGTGACCAGGAGCCTGAAGGCACTAACAGGGTGTGGAAGCAGCAACACAGTATAACTGCAGCTCCTCATCTCTGCCCGTTTCCCCCCCACTCACAGATGTGCCTCAGTTTTCAAGCACTGAAAGGGCAGAGACTGCTGGATGCTGGCAGATGGCTTCAGCAGCTCCCATCCCACTTCCCAACGCGGCAGGACCAGCTGGGGCACCCCAAAGGGCACTACAGTCTGGTGCTTGGCAAGAAGTGTTTGACAGGCAACTCCAGCTCCATTTTGCTGCTGAGCCTTTGGCTGACAGAGTCAAGAGCAAAGCTCGTCCCAGCAGCCTCGCGTTTCCAGCTCCCAGAGGAAGCCCCACCACACCACCTCCTCTCTCCACACCCCTTTCCATGCCTCTCCAGCAACTAAGAGAACGGCTGCAGCCCCACAGGAATTACTTGCCTGACAGCAGCCACCAAGCTCAGAAACACACTGCTCCTCCCCAGGGACCTCCCCAGGTCACTCAAGCCACATCACTGCTAGGATCCACATCCAGGCAGACACAGCTCCAGCCACCCCATCAGCAGCTCACAGCTTCTCACGCTGCTGCTGCTCTCTCTGCACCACTTCACCACCCTGATGCTGAGCAAAGACACACACACCAGCCAGCGCAGGGAGAGCAGCAGGGCTCTGAGGGACAGAAAGCACACCCCACCCCACAGGCCTTGTCCCAGCACCAAACTTAATCCTTCAGCCCACAAATCCAACCCATGACAACATGTTCTGCCGCAGAGAACAAGGAGAGCGGCTGATCGCTGTCCCCACGTCACAGCCACGGCACGTTGAGAGTAGTTATGGGTCCTTTCCAGAAGGAACAAATTCACTTTTCAACCTTTCTCCTCAGCCAGCCCCATGCTGCCTCCTGTGACTGCCCTGCAATGCCAAAGACCTTTTCCAGCTCCTCCTGCTACTCTGGACTCTCTCCACAATTGCCTCTATCTCATTTGAAAGCAGAGCCATAAACGTGTCATGCAGCAATGGCACAGCTCTACCAAGCCAGATGCCATGGCCTTAAGTCCTGTTTTTGACAGCAGCTGATAGCAAAGGAAGGCTGTGAGAGCAGGTCAGACTGCGGGGATGTTCTCTGTGTCCCTCCTGCCCCCAGCTACTGGAGTGAGGCATTTCCTGGGTGTGAGGCAGTCCTTATAGTTAACAGCCCTCAACAGAGTCTTCTGCCATGAATGTGCTCTTTGAACTCTCAACACTGGCAGCATCCTGTTGAACAGTCCCATCTGGCACCCGGGTGTGACACCAGCCCCAGAGATGAGCCACGTGCCCGTGTCAGAACTCGTGACTCCCAGCAGTGCCCGGGCAGCTCGAGCCGCCCTGCCTGGCCCTGCTCCATCACCCAGGAGCACACCCAGCAGCTTCCTCCTGGCCCAGGCGTGTCACACGCAGCCTCTCGGCAACTTCACATCGTTTCCCAAAACCGTCACAAGGGGTTTCAATGCAAACACGCTTCCCCACCTGCTCAGTGCCCCCTGCAAGCTGTGTGAGCATGCAGCCAAGGGAACTGCTAATGCAACGCCACGGCAAGGGCCCTCCAGCAAACCACTGCCTGCCCCTGACTGCTCCTCTCCACCATCACCTTCACCAGTTCCTCAGCTCAACCCAGAGGCATCCTTCTGCTCCCCCAAACACTGCTGAATCAACAGAAAAAAAGGGATGTGATCCAGACAAACAGACAGCAGGAACTCATCCCCTTAGTGCTCACAACCAGCAGCAAATAAACTCCTCAGTACTTCGCAGAGCACAAACAATTCCAAGACACCTCCCATCAGGAACAGGGATACAATCTTCACTGCCAAGGAATTCACAAGCAACCTAAAGGACTCTGCACACCAGCGAGGTGCCAAAAATGCAGCAGTAGGCCAGAGCGTGCAATAGAACAGAGAGCGGGAGCCATGAAGCTCTGGCACCCTGCCCGCCGCGCTGTGCGGAGCGAGGGAGGCCGGGCAGGGGTGGGATTTGGCACTGGGCAGGAAGCGGGTGACTCGCTGGTCTCAGCCCCTGGGCTACTTCCAATCCCCCTGACTCAGCATTCCCCTGCGGGGACACCCAGCA